CACACACACACACACACACACACACACTGTATTCTTCACTTACAGGTCACAGATAAGAGCATTGCTTCATAAGGGAACAATATATACACAGCTATTTGATTTGATCATTTATTTTTATCATCAGAACAGTTTTGTTATTGTTAACTAAAACTAGAAGTATTAAAAATTGTTTTTGGTAATTGAAATAAAGTTGAAATATACAATAAAATAAAAAATATAAAAAATATAAACTGTATAATATAATATATATAAAATTTAAAATTGAAATGGAAATATTATATAAAAAACTTGTAAATGTTGTCTTGGCAACTATGTAAAATATATAGCTGAAGCGCGAAAATTACTGAAACTAAAACTGAAATAAAAATAAATTAAAGCTAAAAAACAAATAAAAATTACAAAAGCACATAAAAAATTACAAAAACTTAAAATTCAGAATATTAATATATACTATAATAGTACATAAATAATGCAAAAATAACAATGAATCAGAGTTTTTTCACGGTTTATGTGGCAAAACACTCACAATCTCTAGTAGGAAAACAGCATTAAACTCGAAATTTAGTATGAAGATAAATTAAGACTAAATTAAAATTGTAAATGTAATTCTTTTTAAAAGACTAAAAAGTAAAAACGAATAAAATTACAAACAACTTAATTTAAGCCAAAATCAGTGTGATGAACAGTAGATAAATATTATAAACAGATTTTGTAATTTATTTTTAATTAAAAAATTTTTTTTTTTTTCTTAAATTTTTAAAAAACTTTTTTAAAGACAATGCAAGGCCTCAAATGAATCAGTGATCATTTAAATCATTTTTGAATATTCTGAGTCATTGATTTTTGTTGTATGGAGATGAGCAGCGTGACCATTCTGCCCAGTATCTCCTTTTACAGGTGCATCTCAATAAATTAGAATGTCGGGGAAAAGTTATTAATACACGAGTTTCACAATTTGAGTTGAATTACTGAAATGAACTTTTCCACGACATTCTAATTTATTGAGATGCACCTGTATGTTTCACAGGAAGAAGAAGGTCATACAGGTTTGGAGCAACATGAAAGTGAGTAAATAATGACTGATATTATGTGAACTATTCATTTTTTGTTGATAGCTTCATTAAAAATCTGTAAAATCTTACAGTTAAACCCCTGATTGTGTGTTTTTGCATCTGTAGGTTAGTATGATGGTAGTCACCAGTTAAACTGAGAAAGTGTTCCAGCGAGTGCTAATGATAATAATGTCCGTAGAGTCTCAGAAGGAGAGCGTTTCACAACGTCGGACACTGAAGCCGTGTGATATGAATGCATGTGATGGCAATGAGGGGCTTTTTGTCTTCAGAGCCGCTGAAACTGTATCCTCCACTCGAGCTCTCGTTCCCTGCGGCGGGAATGACAATCTGCTCCGTTTCAAAAGCCCTGACAGCGTTTCTCATAGCACACACACACACACACACACACACACACACACACACACACACACACGTATGAGGGCCCTGCATTGTTCAGTGCAGCTGTGTTTATGGCTCTCAGTTGAATCTCTTGTTGGCGTTTAGCGCTTCAGTTCACTTGTGAGGGTGTTTACGTGGCCCTGCTTTCACCCGCCGCCGCTGGCGAGAGACGCAGACACAAAAATGAACACAATCCCTGTGCTGAAAACTACTAGTACTTACAATACCTATGATTTAAAGAGACAGTTCACACAAAAACGCCAATTCTGTCTTCATTTACTTGTGTGTGCACTGCATACATTTAAGAAGATATTTTGAAGAATGTTGGTAACAAAACTGTTTGTTAACATTGACTTCTATTTTAGGAACACGAATGATATTTGTCAAAATATCTTCTTTTATGTTCCACAGAAGAAAAAGCCATACAGGTTTGGATTGATGTAAGGAAGAGTAAATGATGACAGAATGATCATTTTTGGGTGAACTGTCCCTTTAAAGAATTAAGCTAATTAAACAGTACTCAAAAAATTTGCAGTGACTTTAAGGTACTTTTTAATTGGCCATTAATTTTCCCAAGAGTGTGTCATTAGACTAATTTTTCAATGTTTTAAGAGCATCTCTCATTTGAACTTTTGTAGCAAAAAGTTGGCATGATTCATTTCGGAGAATTGATTCAAACACTCAATTGATTCAATTCAGTGATTCTTTTGTGCTATAATTTGTTCCAAAAATGTTCACAGAATGATTTTACGGCACTTTTAATTTGGCCATTCATTTTGCTAAAAGAGTGTGATAATAGACAAGTTTCATGATGTTTTATTAGCATCTCTCGCTTAAACTTCAGGAGAAACTAACACTGTATCAGAGCTGTCAAAATCTCCATTAGGATTACAGCATTAAACTCTAAATTTAGTAAGTAAAATGAAAGCAAACAAACAAAACTAGAGAGTAAAAACAAAAACAAAACTTCATTTGAGCTCTTCAGTATAAAGCTGGCTTGTTTGAGTCACTTTTGAGCTCAAATTTATATTTATGCTTAATTATTTTAAGTTTCATGATGTTTTAATTGCATCTCTCATTCAAACTTCAGCAGCAAAAAGCTGTTATGTTTGATTCCCTGTCAGAGAATCAGAGATTCAGAGAATCTGTTTCAGTGAATCAAAACTATGATTCATTCATTCTTTTGTAAAGTAAAATTTAAAAAAAATCTAAATCTTCATTAGGATAACAGCATTAAACTCCAAATTTAGAAAGTAAATAAGACTAGAAACAACACACATTTGAGTTCTTTAATAGCAAAGAGTTGGCAAATTTGATTCACACTGGTGAATCAGTTCAAACTGTTTCAGTGAGTCGATTCAAAACTGATTCAGTAATTATTTTGTGCCATAATTTTACTTTACTTTACTTACTTTTACTTTTAGTCATTTAGCAGATGCTTTTATCCAAAGCGACTTACAAATAAGAAAAACCACCTTCAATACCATGACTGAGGTGCCCTTGAGCAAGGCACCGAACCCCCAACTGCTCCCCGGGTGCTGCAGCAAAAATGGCTGCCCACTGCTCCGGGTGTGTGTTCATGTTGTGTGTGTTTTCACTGCTGTGTGTGTGCACTTAGGATGGGATAAATGTAGAGCACTAATTCCGAGTATGGGTCACCATACTTGGCCACATGTAACGTCACTTTCACTTTCTTTTAAGAAAATAAAAGAAATTAAATAAAAATGACAAATGCATACAACAACATTTCAAAACTAAACATTTAAATGAAAAAAAATTAAAGAAATAATTTTTTTTCATTTAAATGTTTAATTTAATTGATTGTTTGAATCAGTTCTCCGAAATGAATCATGCCAACTTTTTGCTACAAAAGTTCAAATGAGAGATGCTCTTAAAACATTGAAAAATTAGTCTAATGACACACTCTTGGGAAAATTAATGGCCAATTAAAAAGTACCTTAAAGTCACTGCAGATTTTTTGAGTACTATGTTTAATTAGCTTAATTCTTTAAAGGGACAGTTCACCCAAAAATGATCATTCTGTCATCATTTACTCTTCCTTACATCAATCCAAACCTTCAAAATATTAAAAGAACAAAAGGTATGAGTATAATAATGATTCTAACATAACACTAAGCCAAACACCAAAAAACAACTACATGTGTATGTACAGCCACACACATATACATATACATGTACATATATATAAATACATTCAATATATATATATTATTTCATTTCCATTTTGTATGTTGAAGTACTGAAATAACTCAAATTAAATAAAACTAAAACTTAATAAAAAAACGATATAGACATAATAAAAAACTAATAAAATGACAACATTACTACAACTGTAACTAAAGCTAAAATAGATAACTAATACAAATCAAACTACATTAGTTTATCAGTAATCCTAAAAAACCAACACTGAGCCAAACACACATGCTAAAATAGCAACAACTTACTGACACACAGTAAGAAATGGTTATAAAAAACTGAAACAGAAGTGAAACAAGTAGGAAAGAGGAGAAATAAAAAGCGATACTTATCCTTTG